TACTCATAAAGATAAAAAGTCCAGGAAAAGTCTGCTTTTTGAGAAAAAAAAAAATTGCATGAATAGAGCTGCATAGATTTTAAGTTTGTAAATTTCAATATTTTCAGGCTCTCACAGGACATCAATACCTGAGTGCTACCCCAGAGAATCAGTAGTGGAAAATGCAGTCAAAGATGGCTGTCAGCTTGGAAGAAGCAGGACTTAGAGTGATTTATGTCTGAGCAAAAGCAGTAATTAGATTCTGTAACATTAACACTACAGGAAAAACTGAAATAGTAGAGAAGAGAGGTTGTGCTTTTTCATTCAAAGTGTATGCTAAATGTGTGTTGTTCAATTAAAAAAAAATCTTTAATGGAATCTGGGAAGAAATCCCATGATAAAATTAAAATTTTGGCAATTCTTTAATCTCTGACTTCAGTCTGGTCCCTGTAGAGGTAGGGACCTGATAGAGAGACTTTGGAAACAATTGCTGGGAAGTAGTGAGATTTCCACAAACTCAGAGTACACTAACCTAACTTGATTTTTCAGTAGCCTTGTCTAGGGTGAAATATGGACTGAAATTTTTAGTCATGCACAGTTTTTGTAGAGACTAATGAAAATCAGTACTACTGAGTACATTGACACCATTCTTTTTACTCTCTGCTGTTGTTGAGGTGTCAGGCCTGAATGGGACTATGTTTATAGGCACTAGGATAGTGCTGCTCAAATTACGAAAGAAAAATATGGTGATAAGAAGACAGAGATTAGAAGCAGAAAGTCCAAGGGAAAAATACAGTATCATGGGTATTGTGCAAAAAACCATGTTAGAGATATCTGTTTCAGCCTGTTGCATATGTCAGAGATGTTGAAGATCAAGTTAAAAGAAAGATTCTTGTTGATACAACTTGTAAAGATTCTTCCATGGGACCAAAGCTGGAATAGATTTGAAGCTAGTTCTGGGCTAAGTCACATTTCCAAGACTGCCCTTTGGAAGCTACTTTAGGCAAAATACAGTCATATATATAAGTTTATTTTCTCTTAGCACAGTAAATTTAACATCTGATGATCACCCATATTGTAGCAGACATAAATTCAAACATATTATTAGATTTAATATTCTATCACATTGGAATACATACACTTATCTTATGTAGTGGTTTAACAAAGGGAATTATTCAGACTATAATACACAGAGGATACAAATCACAAAGGACCAGCTCTGTCACCTTTAGTTGCCCCATAAGTGTTGAACTACCTGTGTATTTTATGCTTGGATGTGCTTCATCTCAGATCTGGAGAACTGCTATATTCTATACTAACAGGAGTTTCCGAAAGAAATGTGTTTAGATGTAACAGTTTTGGATTAGATCTCTTTAATTTCTCTCTCAGTTTGACAAACATGCTCAGCAGACACACAGAACTATGGAAAAGGAAAAATCCCCCAATCCCCAAACCAAAAGCCACAGACTGGGACAAAATACTTGTCAGAACTGAGAAATTATCAGAAGTACTTAATTTCTTAGATTCTTGTTGAATCCTACAGAGTCATTTCTAATTAAACTGAAGAAACTCTTGGAAGCCTTATCTTAGGCTTGGTTGTGGGAAAAAAAAATAAATCTTAATTTCTAAATGCTTAGACTCCATTTTTGATAGCCTAAATCAACAACTTTTCCAGCCTCAAATTGCTCAATAAAAAAAAGCACAATGATTTTGAACATTATTTTAATTAAATATAGAAAATGAACTTTGAAATATCATAGCAAGTTAGGGCTTTATTGGAGGGATTTTATAAGTTTCACCTGTAAGAGCTGGGGCCAGGATTTGGAGGTGGGGCTGTGCACTGACAGTCGTGAGTGCAGTGACAGCCCACAATACATGCTCACTGTTTTGTATCATTAGCACTGTAGTGAATCTCAAAAAAAAAGAAAATGTCCAGTCTTTTTTATTACTTCACTTTTCCCCCCTTTTTTTTATTTTTTCTTTATAAAGCACCTAATTTAGGCCACAGACAAAAAGAAAATGTATCTTGAATATGCATCACAGGTTCCAAAAATGAAAAGAAATTGGATTTGGATAGCACTTACTCAATAGACAGATATGATACATGGTAAGAAGGTGCACTGTCTGCCCTGTGATAGATTAAACTACTTTGTAGGAAAATTACTGTGAGCCAGTCACCACCACCACCGTGGCTAAATCTTTAATAAAATTCTCTTCCATATTCAAGAGCGAGGTATGAAGTACACAATAAGCAGAGAGGAGTAGAGTGCCATTTATCAAACCACAGCTAGGTCTGTAATCTCCTGCTTTATCCTTTTTTAGTACTTTATTTGTCTTTATTGTTGCAAGGAAGCACATTTACCCAGGGCAGTGGGCTTTTGGTGCTGATAAACCTTTTGCTTTAAATTCTACCTGTGGGGTTTTTTTCTTTTCTCCTTTTTTCTTTTTTTCCCCCCCTTTTTTGTTTTTCCTTCTTGATCAGATACCCATCTGGTCACTCTATGGGAGTAATTAGTCTGTTTTGGTGCTCCCTGACTTGTTACATATTCTTTCACCCTACCTTGCCTGACCTGACCCTACCTCTCTCGTCTCTATGCTACAAAAAGAAAGGGAAAAAAAGATATTATAACATCTAAGACATTTTAAAAAGAATACTCATGCCTGTGCAGAAGATGGTCTGGGGTGTATTGCATAATGCTTTTTTGAGGCTATTTGGCAAGATGGCAGTGTTGAATCATGTTGCAGTTGGCCCCTGGGTGGCACTACATGGCTAGATCTGGGACCAACAAAACCAGTTTTGGATAAAGGCAGAAAACATAATTGAACCATTTTTCTTCTTAAAAATTAAAGACTTCAACTAAATTTGTTGTTATTTGCTGAATTCAACACAAATTCACAGTATTAATAAATTGTGTTCCTCTAATTGAATGACATTCCAAAATGTTCCCTGTGTCTTGACTACCTGGTAATATCTGGATCATTTCTGGGAACACCCTGATATTAAGTACAGATTCAGTGGAAGGGTTCCTATGGGTAGAAGTATGTGACTGGAACTGCTTTGTGCTGCCTGAATATGCATACTACCAGCCTGTGCTGCAGCCCTGGGGGTGATTTTTTTAGTACTATTATAACCCTTTTTATTGTTTGAATAGCAGTTTTATGACAAAACATTTATATTCAGCCTGCCTTTGTACTTGACTGAAAGAGAGCAATCACTGAGAATGATAAGGCAACAATGGTAATGATAACTGCATTTATGGAGGCTTACAGAATTTAAACGGGCATGCAAAAATAGACTTACAATAGTGCTCTACCTGTATTTGAATTGGCTTGGGTATATTTCTTGTGCCTGGCCCATGTTTGATTGTTGATGGATATGTTGCATTTTATTCTGTTTTTCTCTCTCATGGCATTTTTTCTGTATGAGTCTTACGTGTGTGAACATCAGGTTTATCTTAGCACTGAAAGGTGTCCAAGTAAAATGGAGGAATATAACCATTTTTCAAGATCCATATCCTTGAAATTATTGCTTAACTGACATATTAAGATTTCAGAGTTTGTGGTATTATGGTCTTGCATCAGAATGGTCATTACCTGTCTTTCAAGGTTCTACCTCTCAAGAAAATAGGCAAATTCTCACTATCCCTTGAGAAAAAGTGAGAAATAATACTGGACATTGGAAAGCAATCCAAGAGTTTAGGATCAGTCCTTCTGTTGTTAAATATTGTTAAGCCAAATCAATTCTAATTTTTTCTTCCTTTGCTATGAAGTTTTCTCTCCTCAGTGGTTCACTCAGACACATCCACAAGGACACACATGCACACACATTTGTGTATTTCCTTAAAATTTCTTGCTTATACAAGAACATAAGACAGCAATGAGAAAGTTCTTTGTGTTCTGGGAGGAAACAAATGGTTCCTGGATCTCCAAATTGTGTGTGAGGGGAACAAAATTACACCAAAGTCTGCATGTATTTTAGTATGGGTTATGAAGAAAGGAGGTGTGCACTATACATTGTCCTATAGATATTTTAAGGCTACGTCCAGCCACACTGCTCACAGACTGCAAAGTAGACTTACCAGTGCTAGAGGGTTTCTTACCAAGGAAGAGACTGCTCTCATGGACTTAGAATGACACATTCAGCCCACTCACCTAGATTTTTTTTCAATATTTTGAAAAAAATTTTTGAGGGAGCTATTTTATATAAAGACTCCTTTCTGTAAACAAACCAATGTATATTTTTATAGAAGTGAATGACAGTTTTAAAGACCTTTCAAATTTTGAGCCATACATTTAGGTTTTATTGTTTTTTAGAGATGGGAACCTCAGTACAGCCCAATTTCTTCCATACTTTAGTTTTCCTATGACATAATTTCTGTCTTGACCTGTATTTTAATTTTTCTGTATTTACCCATCCATTAGAAGTTTACAGTATATAATATCTAGGTCGAAAAACATTATGAAAATTAAGTGAATAGAAATGTGGAAAAAAAAAGTTGGTAAAATCAAATATATCTTTTATTTTATTTGTGTCTTATTTTCTATTTCAGAAGCTCACTAACTACACTCCATTTTTTAATGTATGTATATGATCATTGCATGTCAACCTCTTCATGTGCTTGTCTGCACTATTTAGGCTTTAAATATGCTTAAATTAATAATTCAAGTTCTCTTTTGCAAACGAAATATAAGTAATGCAAACATTAATTCACTTTGCCTTATAGTATTCTGGAATGCTGCATTCAAAGAAACGTCATTTTCTACTAAATGTCTTTCTAATACTTCTGTGCAAATGATACCTTTTCCCCAGGCCCAGCTACTTAGTGGATATTATTGAACAAATGTCTTTTATAGGATCGAAAAAAGTGAGGCATTATGTGAAAGAAATTTTTGAAAATGTGCATGGACTATTTCTGAATATGCTTAGTGAATATTAAGCAAACACCTGAAGTTCCTGTGCTGCTGCCTAGAACCAGCACTTCATTACCTATTACGTGCAGTGACTTTGAATTTTTTATTAGGTACTGGTCTCTTAGCCTGTAAGGCTTGTGCATGATGTCTATGAGAGCAATTTCCAGCAGAGCGAAGCCTTATCACAGATTCACCTAAAAGGTAAGGATATTTTTTAATTTTTAGTTCACATGCTGAACAGCTGCCTGCTGAACACCTGCCCACGGAGCAGGAAAGAAATTTGGTTTAAGGGTTGATTATGCATGTCTTACTCATATACAGTAAGTCCAGAAATAGGCATGATGAACTTCAGATAAACCCAGAATATGCAAATGCAAAGTACAATACCAGAATATTTACCCCCTAATTTTGTGCTCCACTACATTTTTAGTGCTTTTTTCTTTTTCATTTTTTTCAGGTTGGTGAGGACATAGGAGAAAGGCTTATATATGCTTCTGATTTATTTAGTTTCTCCCAAATCTGGAGTGTTAATATTTTAAAAAAGCAAAGTTGAACTATGAATCTGGCAGGTAATGTAAAAGAATCATTGTGCTTGGCATTCCTCATATTTGCTAAAGAAGCTGGCAAATATGAATAAGTATTAGGAAAAAACCAGCAAAGATGGAGGAAATGATGAAAAATCAAGAAAGGTAACTAATCAGAATGTGAGGAGAAAAGATACAACAGTAAAATTAGAGATCCTCTAGGAATGCTTTGATTACTTTTTCACTGAAAATGGCTTAAATGGACTTGTGAGAGTGAGGGACCTTATTACAATGGATCGTGAGTGATGGGTTCTAAGACTATTAGTTTGAGGAATTCAAATCAGGTAATTTAGGGGTAAAAAAGTCTCAAGAAAGCATGGGCTACACATGCTTTCAGAACGTGGTGATAAACTGATGGTTGAAAGAACAGACTTTGGTAAAAAAATAGAAGGAGTGACAAACTTTGGAACCGAAGACCAACAGGGACCTTCTTGGTCTCCAATTTTCTCATATTAGCATCATCAATTTACTAAAAATAACTTCCATCTTAGAAGTTTTTGCTTTTTCTGATAGAATTATTCTCTTGGACTTTCTTTTAGAAACTGATTTACTTTTCCACTTTATTTTTTTTTATTTCCAATTCATAAATAACTCTTGTGCCAAAAACTGCATCTGGATTGGTAACTGTCTTTCAGTCTAATGTTTTATATTTCAGAGCAATTTATTGCCATTTCTTCTTTAGCCAATCCTTTTCCCCCTTTCAATTTAACCACTTGCCTAAGTGTTTTCAACTTTAACTAACATTTTCACACGTGTTGTTTCATGAAATGCCTTGCTGAAATCCAGATGGATATTTCCTCAAGCACATCAGTATCTTATTAAAAGAAAGCCATTGGTTTAGTCTTCCTCCAATTAGTATATGCTGCATTCTAAAGCTGGAAATGTCTCCTTTTCTTGATCATATGAAACCAGAGATTTTAGTGATTGTGCAATGAAATCATTGCTCATGCAAAGGGAGAGCCTTGTCATCCACATTTTCTGAACAGAGAATTTGAGTCATGCCATTTAAAAGAAGGTTTTCTTGAAAGCAGTCTCTTTTTGATACTGGTGGTATCAGTATCAAAAAGTATCAATCAGACTGAGCATGCATATCATGACAAATCTTTCCTCCATTAAAATCATTTGCCATCCTAAAATGAATTAGCTGAATCGATATACTCTTCCCGAGGTTTCCCTGAGGAGACGGGAGCAGCTGCCAGAGCAGCAAGTGCTGCCTGAGCCGTCAGGCACCAAGGCAATGAGGCCAGCACTGGTGTCACCAGGGAGCAAGAGGGTCCCTTGCAGGGCACTGGGGGAGAAGGTCACTCATGGGTACCATAGTTGTGCTGAGGAAAAACCAACAATCAGCTGTGACTGTCAGAACTGGCAAAGCTGTGCATTCCTGGAAATGTATAACAGTAACACAAACTCCAGGGCAGCAAGAGAAGGAAGAATGCTGCTGCTGTTTCTGATGTGTCATGCTCTTCTAACTACTTGAACTTCTTGAACAACTGTGTGCAATATCTTCAATTAGTTAATTAGATTAATATGTTCTCAAGGCTAGTTTGAGGTAAAATTTATTACTATTTTGTTTCTTATGCTTGATAGGTATCACAATATGTAATAATGGATGTATTTAATAATGAGCATATTCTCCACCTCTTTCTGAAGACTGTTTTTGTCTAAAGACCTGCAATGCTGCAGAGAATAGGAAGAAACAAGGTAAAAAAAGAAAAAGTCAGACATAAATAAGTTGAAAAATTTGAGCTGGATGCTTTCAATTGGTTTAGTTTGCACAAATTAGCAGACTAGAATTTCTGCAGAGGTGGTAAATATACTGTTTTTTTTTTTTTTTTCTAAATTGAAATTGAAAAAAAAACCTAATGCCATGGAACAACTATTTTTTCAATTGAAAAATATTGTTGGCAGATTTTTATGGCTTAGTATTTTTTTCTTTTTTATTCTCTGAAAATGAATATTTTTTTAAGGAAAGACTGTGTAAACACATTGAGCTTTACAATTAAAATTTGTTCTCAGCCTCAGAAGAGCCGATGCAAGAACTTGATTTGGAATTCTCCATCAAAATTATTTTTCAATAGAAATAATTCATGCTTTGAAATTAGAAGTGGCATTAGTATGAGTTGACAGTAGAAGTCCCCTAATTTAGTTTGAAAATTAATTCTTGACATTTTTGCAATTAGAAAACTGAAAGTTTGAAAAGTGAATTTTTTTTAAAGTGTAGCTTTAAATAAAACCCTTTGGTCATAATAATTTTCTAATTTGTACTAAAAATTTCAAATCAATATAAAAATATTTGGAGTATTTTCAAATTACTGACTACATATATGCAAAATTTTCATAGTTTATAATTTTTTTCCTGATTGTTTCAATAGGATGGTATTTTGAAAATTAAAATTATTTTTTCCTGTCTACCCCATTTCCTTGTGATGTTTGCTTGATGTACACTATCACCTGGTCTTTCAACACAGCCCCTTAAGCAGAGTATTTTAGTGTTTACATGAGACTTAAATTCAGTAAGCAGCTGAAGTAGTTTCTGTTTGTATGGCACACACTTGTACAATTTGCAGATTTGTGTATTGTGAAATGACTGAATGTGATTATGAAAATCTCACTTGTTTGACTTATGATGGTTACTTTCATCAGCAAATAATATAATTTTCAGTATATGACACTGATTCCTTCTTATGCATTTTTTTTCTCATTATCAAATTGACGATGCATTTAAATATCAGGGCTCTATTTCTTTTCTTGGTAGTCATTTGAGCTGTTAGGATTGTTCTTTTTATAAAAACTGGGTCTTTTCTTAAAACCTCTTTCTTTGTTCAGCGCAACTTTAATGTGTGGGACATATCTCCTTTCATCACAGCAGGGGACTCTGTATATGTGGGATAAACTAGTTCCATATTAGCAATGTGGAATTGCTTGAGCTTGTTTGCATATGTTGATAGTGCCTTTTGTGATGGTAAGTTTTGGGGAATTCTGTCAGCAATATTTTTTTTTCTCAATAGTTAATTCATATCCTGTAAAGATGCTGTTCCCACTAAGCCTAAATGCTATTTTTATTGTCTATGGATATAGGATATGTTGATAATAGCACAAAAATGAACTAATCTCAAGTAAATGGTTAGTTTTGATGACTGAAATGCCAACACTATAACTCACTTTTTGCTGCTTAAAAGAGAACTCCCATAGTTGCTGTGTTGAAAACTTCTAGGGTTGTTTGGAATATGTAGGTGTAAGAGTTTATTCAGGGAGCTGAAGCTGTGGAAGCACTTGGACCATGTGAGTCTCCACATTGCATACTAAAATTTGATGCATGGAGAACTTCAGTGGGAATCTCTCACAGCAGGTCAGGTGCCAGGGCTCCTTGTGAAATGTCTGCAAGGGAACTTGTGTGCTCCAGTGAAGAGGAGAACTTTTTAGTTTGGGAATTTAAGTCAGGTTTAGGTAAACAAGTACTCATCTTGGCTGGTCTGGTGTAGCTTTAGACATGCATGGAAAATGGAACCTAGGCAATTTAGGGGTATTAGTGATAAAAGTTTATGTATTTATGTATATAATTTTATGTCTTCACATTACACACCACTGTTTGATCCAAGTCCCACTTCAGATACCTCCCTTGATTTGTAAATCTTACTCTTTCCTTCTTATTTTATCTAAAGATGTGTGTTGATATAAATGATCACTTTAAGTTACTTTTTTATTTATCATAAGAGAAATGTTGACCACTTTACTTGGGAGTGCTCTGCTGTGCCCATTAGAAGATATAAAGAGGAGAGTGAACCTTTTGTTATTTCTGTAGAAAAATTAATTTTCAAATTTGAATTTTTAAGTCTGCCTAAAGAAAGTCAAACTTCATCGTGGCTGCACTATCAAATCCTCTTGATTTAATGGCATTTTTAAGGTTGATCTTATTCTTATCTATTAAAAAATTACTTTGGACTCAATTTTTTCTGGGAAGGACAGGAGTGAATATGCAGGGAGCCTGTTAGGAACCTACACTATGCTATGCAAAAGACCAGAAAATAAATAATTTACCTAGGAAGATCTTTTTTTAAGAAACCTGCCAGCAAGCTTTTTCCTTCCTATAAGGTTCACATTTAAACAATTTCTAATGTTGACTTTTGGCCAACAATGTCTCTTTCTCCTTCTATGATTGAAAGGAACAGCTCAGTAATAAAAACTAATTTCTATGTCTTTCACATTCATGTCCGAGAAGACATGCAATTTATAGAAGAAAATTACAAATCACATTATGAACTGCTTAAGAATTTCAAGAAAAACAACAACTTCTGGAAGAAACCATGAGAAAAGTATATAGGGACTAATATTTTTTCAGAAGCTTACACATGGTATTTCCTTTTTTTGAATATCTGTGATACCTCATAGAAGAAGTTTTAAAGTTGAATGACAATTTCCATCATGAAAAGAAAAGGAAGTTTTTTTGGTAAGGTCAAAAGAAAATGAGAATATTTCTTATGTGGACTATTTGAAGGAAAATATATGTCTGCATCCAAACTATTACTAAACTAAATACAAATTCACCTACACATTTGCCTCACAAAGCAGGTGATTTAATCACATTAATGAAGTGTATTGGTGAGGAATTCTGAGGGA